GCCAGTTTCAGCCAACTGTGGTAATGGTCAATCCTCAAGCTTCTGCTGTGTGTAGACTGGCCAGCTTCTGGGGTGGCCAGAGCAGGGTCGACGATCTCAGGTGGACTTCTGCTGCCTCTGGAACGTAACTCGGAGCGGTTGATCAGGAAGAGGCTCTGCAGTCCAAGTCTCCTGGCTTTCCAGAGGTGCTGCTCTCTTTACCCAGGTGTGGTGGATCCGTGGGGTGATACCTGCAACTTTAAGAGCAGTGGGAGTTGCTAATATAACTGTGAGGGCCTATCCAGCTTCGCTGGAGCTGCTCCTTTTTCTGATATTTAACCCATACTTCATCTCCTGGCTGAAGGGGGTGAACCCAGTTCCCTAAAGGGATAGGGGCTCTTTCTAAAGTTTCCCGAGTGATGCTACAGAGGGTCTTTCCTAAGGCCTGAAGCTGTTGGGACACTTCTAGGTCAGCCATTAATTGAGGGTTTCCTTTTAACTTCCCTATCACTAGGAGAGGTCTCCCATAAAGGATATCAAAAGGGGAGTAGCCTGAAGGTCTTGGGGTGCATCACGTTCAGAGTAGAGCTAAAGGCAGCATATCTATCCACGGTAACTGGGTTTCCTGACAAAGCTTAGCTAGAGTGGTTTTGAGTGTCCAGTTCATCCATTCAACTTTCCCTGAAGTTCGTGGCCTGTAGGCCATGTGGAGCTTACATTTGATTTCTAAAGCTTTGGACAAGGTCTGGACTATCTCAGACACAAAGGCAGGTCCATTGTCTGATCCAATACAGAGGGGTAGTCCGTATCTTGGAACAATTTCCCTCAATAAGGCTCTGGCTACTTCTCGTGCACATTCAGTGCGCGTAGGAAAGGCTTCAACCCTTCTGGAGTAGGTGCAAACCAACCCAAGCAAGTATCGGTGGCCCCTGCAGTGAATGCCACCTTTGAAGCCTTCCATACTGCCTCTAGCAGTTGGAAGATTTCTCCTTTGTTCTTGATTTCTTTTCCTCTTGCCGCCAGCAATCCTCCATTTTTGTAAATGGCCTCATGTATGTGCAAGGTAGTAGAGGCATACCTTGAGTCAGTGTAGATGTTGGCCTGTTTTCCTTCATCCTGTCGCAGTGCCTGGATGAGTGCCCATAGTTCGGCCTGCTGTTCTGACCAGCCCTGTGGCAGGGCCTCAGCTCTGATTACTTCATCAATAGTTGTTATTGCGTAGCTGGCTTTGCGCGGTTCTTCATGGATGAAGCTGTTCCCATCTGTGAACAATACCAGTTCTGGGTCCTGAAGAGGAACATCTATCAAGTCAGGCCTACTTGAGTAAACTTCATCCGTGACCTCCTCACAATCGTGGTCGGGAGGCCCCTGCTCAGTGGGCAGAAACATAGCAGGGTTCAATGTTCATAGTTTCAAGACAGACTCGTGGATATTTGCAAAGCAGTCCCTGATAATGAGTTGTTATGGCGTTGGTCAGCCATTTATGTCCTCGATTATTCATTAATTCAGTTACAGCATGGGGAATCTTTACATTTAAATCTGTGGCCTTATATAGTAGCTTGAAATCTCAGAGAAACCTGATATCTAAATTCAACAGAATTCAGCTGCCCCTAGGAACTCACGGACTCCTTTCTTGATGTTTGGCCATGGTATTGAGTGTCCACTGTAAAAGTCATTGATTGGCCCCTCTACTTTTATTGTGACCATAGGTTGCTGGGGGTCTAGGATCAGGGAGCCTGCTTGTTCCTAGTCTGATCGTTCCTCGGTCCAGCTGTTGGCTTAGGCTGGTATCTTCCTTTATGAGGTTGATTGAAATTCTTTTGGCTTTTCAGGTATTTTTCTATGATGAGGGCATTCGTTTTTCCAAAGGCTGGTTTCTTTGCAGTAGGTGCATTGGTCACAGTGAAGTGGGGGTCTCCTTCTGGTTCCTTTCTCTTCCATGAAGGAGCCACAGTCTGTTGTTCTGGACCTGGGTTCCCCAGTGCAGTTGTTAACAGGGACACCTTGTGCTTCATCCATTTGTCAATTACCTTTTGTGACTCCTGGTTGTGGTTTATAAACACCTTGTTTGTGACCTCCAGTAGCTGGGTGGCATTAATTCCAGCAAAGCCTTTCTAATTTTTGAAGCTTGTGGCAGATATCAGTGAAGGATTGAGCCACAAATGCTGTGTTGACCATGCGTTGGGTTTGTGACCCTCAGGGTCAAAAGGGGTATATACCCGGAACTCCTCACATAGTCTCTTATAGGACTCTGTAGGCGACTCCTCTGGCCTCTGGCATGTCTCTGCTGTTCTTATCGAGTTTGTAGGTTTCCTAGTCCCAGCTTTTACCTCTTGCGGTATGGCCTGTTGGTCTAGGTCACTGGATAGGTATTTCTATAAGGGCTGCCTGTCTCCATCTTCAAAGATACTTTTGTCTTTCTGCAAAATTGCCAGCTGCAGTGCCAGTTGTTCCCTTTCTTCATGAATCTTTTCTTTTGCTGCTCGTTCTGCAAGAAAATCTGAACAGTAAACTTTCATTTGTGTCCTAAGGACTGTTCTTTAACTATTTTTAATCTATCATTGGGTTCTCGAATAAGTTTATTGGGTGACAACTGTGAGGTGGCTAATTTGGACTTTTCGGCATCATTTCCAGGAAAGTCATAGAGAGTCCATATATATTCTGATGGGCTTGGATACTTGGGTGCTGGTTCTATCAGGGTGGTAGTGTTCAGGTAGTGAGTCTTATAAAACTCCAGCAAGGCCAGCAAATGGCCAAATTCCAGGTCCCCAAACTTGGGCAACAAGTTGATGATGTAGTGGGAGACCCGCGAATTCTCAGACACAGACAGTACCTAGTCCCTGGGGTAGGTGGAGGAGTCGTGGACTAGGAACATGCTGTGAAACTGGCCCTAGAGTCGGACCTGTGCCTCCTGGCTAGACATCAGCCCCATATACCAGGCAGAATGATCTGAGGAGTTGAACTTGAACCTGGCAGAGGACATGGTGCCGGGCCGAAGCCCTGGGGCAGGTTGGGGTGGCGAAGGCACTAGTGGTAAGGGCCTGTCTGGCAATTGTAAGTAAAGTAGCTGCACAGGGACTGACAGAACCGCTGAGATGAATGGTAGTGGGAAGATAGGTTCTTCCTCCGGGTCCCCATGGTGGATTATTTCTGCTGGCTCCTCTTTGTTCTTTTTCTGTG